TAAGTTCCGATCGCAAAGACTCTGCATTCTGCAACGTAGATTTGGTGAATTACCCAGAGAAGAAAATCAAAAAGATAATCAAGTTGGTGAGCAAAATCTTTCTTCCTCCCTGGTTATCATCTTCTTGTTATTTGATAATTGTTCTATTAGTTGATGTTGAAATACTGGTAACTTTTAACTGCTTACAAGAATTTTGTTCTGGGTTTTTGGATCTGTGAATTTGTATTACTTCTTGGTTGTTGAATGATGTCTGTGGAGGTTGAATGATGTCTGTGGAGGTGCAGCGTCTTTATCACTTTTCTTTTCAGTTTTGCCGGAATTGGGATTTTTATGAAGAGGGTTTGGTATTCAAATCTTATTGATGGATTGGGCTGCTTGGAATTTTTACATTATTTGGGATTCTGTAGCTTTTTGCCCAGACGATCTTTTTTGTGTTTGAAGTTGCCACAGTCAAACAGTTCTTGCAAATCAGAAACCGTTTTGAGAAAAAAAGGACTTCTGTTTAAAATATTAGTGATCAATCCATTGTTGCCCAGAATTAAGAATCTGTTATTCATATTTTTGGGCCAATTTTGTGAAATCTTTCTGTAATATATAGTATGTGTGTCGCTCCTGTTGTACTCCGTTGAAGTAGCGAACTTCGCCAAGGCGGAGTATGATGTGATTTGGGACTGGGCGTGTTTGTTTCTATTTGTTTACTTTTTGGTCATTGGTTTCCCAACTGATCTTTTGGATGAATGATATTATGTAGGAATTAGTTACGAGCTCAAGTAAGATGGATGGTGGAAGAGACAACAAAGATGATAATGAAAAAGGGCTGTTTTCAAATCTTGCTGGATATGCTGCTGGACACTACCCACAGCATGGAGCCTACCCTCCACAAGGATACGGATATCCTCCGCAAGCGCATGGACCACCGGGTTACCCTCCTCAAGTTGGGTACCCTCCCTATGGTGGGTACCCTCCTTCAGGCGGTTATCCTCCTCCAGGCGGTTATCCTCCTCCGGGCGGTTATCCTCCATCTGGTTATCCTCCCCCTGGGGGTTATCCACCATCTGCTTATCCTGCCCATGGTGGATATCCACCAGCCGGATATCCAGGTTCATCATCTCACCATTCAGGTAATCAAATTGCCGTTACTTAGTTTCTTATACTATATGAAGAGTAATATGTGAGATTGTTAGTATAGTTCAGTTTCAACTGTGAGACTATGACTTAGTAACGTTATACCTGAACGGTCTTTCAATGGATTTTGTGGTAGCATATATCTCAAGGGAGAAAGGTAGCTTAAAATGGCCAGTATGTGATGTTTTAGCGTATCCTTTGGTTTACTTTTTTTAATAACACAATAAGACTATTAGAACCTTGGCTAACTAGGGCTATTTCAAGAACCAAGGTCAACCACTCGAGCAATCTAAACCAATCAAAGTTTTGTGGTCTGGATTGAGTTTTCTTTTCTATATTATAACTATTTTCCTCAGGTCTATGGCATCGGTGGCGTGCAATGTGTGTGATGTAAATTTGGACTTTTTACTGCCATAAAATGTTTTGAGGTCCTAGGTTATTATTACTGTAAGAGAAAAGAACAAAAATTGGTTTTGGAAAAAAAGTGTTAACCAAACAGAACCTGTGTCGATGACCAAAATGTTTGAATTGCTAGAACGTTGTTGGTAATTGGCTAGTTGCATGAGATCGTTAATATAAATTCTATTTAAGTTCCAGAAATTCATGGGAGCACTTTAATTTCAATGCATGAATTGTGAGAAGGAGCGGTTGAATATAATTAAGTTGATAATTGTATGTAATATTTCACTATACTAGATGCCGATGACCATCAGATAAGAACCACCAAAAGGTTCTTAGAATAATATGTGACGCGCCACTACTTTTGTTAGAATTTTTGCTAATATGAAACTATAACAGGGCATGGACCTAATATTGGAGGGATGCTAGCTGGAGGTGCTGCTGCTGCAGCTGCTGCTTACGGGGCTCACCATCTTGTGCATAGTGGAGGTCACCATGGGTATGGTTATGGAGGTCACCACGGCTATGGACACGGGAAGTTCAAGCACGGCCATGGTCACGGGAAGTTCAAACATGGAAAATTTAAGCACGGGAAGTTTGGCAAGCGCTTTGGATTCGGGGGGAAGTTCAGGAAGTGGAAGTGATCGAGATTACTATTGAAGATCGAAGTCCTCTGTATTTGATGTTGTTGATATTTTAATTGGCCTTTTAATAATTACTTCAGACTGGATTCTTTGGATTTTTTTTTTACCTCTGTAAATGAGGCTACTGCTACCATATGTCAGTTTGGTTCTTTTGGTTCGATGATGTATATATATAGAATTCTTAGTAGTGAGCAACTTGATGGATTTTCTACTTTCTTTTTATCCTCCTTGTCAATATGTTAATGTAAGTATACGGTAAATATGGGCTCACAAGGGAGCATTAGTTTTGTGCTTAATCGTAATTGGGCTTTCGTTTGTGTATGTTTGCTCTGTAGCCACGTTAGAGAAATGAAAATGAACTTAATAAATTTAAGGTATGTTAAAGAAAGAAATGCTGCTGAATGTAGGATGTTGCCGCTAAGGCATGGTTCAAAGACCTCCGACCGCCTTGGTCTTTGTTCTTTCCCGGGACGGCCTCCCCAGTCCCCCGGAAGCCATGGCCAGAACCTGCTAATATTGTTATTGTTATTTTCCCTTTGTGTTTTCTCCTTACATTGGACTGGCCTCTTTGACATGTCCTTTTTTTGTTGGTGTTGATGTTTAATTTCTTGAGGATTTAACTCCTGTGCTTTGTTCCGTTTTGCCTTGTTGGCAGATTTTGAATGAAACATCTAATTACCAAAAACGTGATGGTGAATCGTTACACTTAGAGACGTAGAAGAGAAAGTATACATACCATTTTGTTTATTTACATATTATATCCAAATAATGTAGCTCATTGCAGCAGTTATTGGGTGGTTGGATGTAAACGTGTCTTTGCATGTCCGCTTGCATCTAGCAATATTAGGGATGCCCTTAACAGGTCATCTTCCCCCCTTTTTTTCCTCTTTCCTTTCCATTTCCAACAACTCTCCTCCTAATTATAAGTATTTTACAGCTCCTCATCTTCTTTTAACAGTTTTACACACGCGTTTGACCCAACAAAATATAGATAATAAAGAAAATAAAAAACGCACACGCATTTGTTTGTGCGTGTGTGTATGGTCGAAGCCTCCAACGATCCAACTGCACATGCAACGGGAGAACAAGAAACAACGTTTCCAAAAATTTGTCACACCAATCTCAAGTATTCTGCAACATCAATTGGTGAGCATTCTATATTTTTCTCTTTTAGCTTTTGAAATCATGGTAAACTTTCATTGCCTCTATGAATATTTCTTGTGGTTATGTAGATTTTTCGTATTTTCTTCTGGGTTTGTGGTTTTCTGATTTTGGTTGTCATTGTTTCTTTTTATTGATTTAAATTGATGGAATTGCTTCTGACATGATTTTCTTTTGTGATTTCTTTTAGCATTGTGAGAATCATTTAATTATTTTGGGATTCTTTTACAAGCACGGGTTTCGTAGGGGATTTGTATTTTCATCGTGATAGACCATGGTTTAAATCTTTGTTTTTCTTGAGATACATCATGCACACTTCATATAATCTTACTTCGCTAATCGCTAAGTTATATAACCACCATTAAATTATCTTTTGTTCAAATTCTTATACCAAAAGAAAAAGAAGGTGTGGAGCAAAAGTTAATGATCATAGGGTTTATATCTTTATTGAAATTGGAATTAGATTTCCAAAACCCTGCACTCGTGAGAATGTTATGATGTAAGGGGGGCTTTACTCAAATTCTAAAATTATTTTGACAATTTGATTACTTTAATATGTTTCTTGTGCACGCTTGTTTCAAACAATATGATGAACTTTTGACACCAAAGGGTGTCGAACTAGGCTAGTGGTTACCAGGTCAGATATGTACTTTAGGCCTCTATTACTGTTAGGAGATGGTTGTTCATGTCTAATCCCCTTCTGAATTCGGATCCCCTCAAAATTAAGAATCATTTCAATATGCATACCTTGAATTTGAAGGGTTATCCATTTCTATCCAATCCTATGTACCATACGAGGCCTTAGAGATATCACAGACCTAATGGATGTTTTAATTTGTAAACACCTATGAAAGAAATAATTAGAAAGAACTTCAAAGGAATTTCCTTTGACATGATCAATTTTTTATCATAGTGGTTGATAACATTCTCATATTTCCATGGTATGGACGCATACTCTTACATCTGCTTTATTTGGTCACTTGAACTGCTGATATCTCATCCCAAATTGTCATATAAATTTGTGCACAATGTTGTATAGTTATGTCCAACTTGGAATTTTTTCTTTGCAGTTGAATTTTAGCAGAATAATTGTTGCTATTTACTATAAGTAAACGGTTGTTGTTTCATTTAGGAATCTTCAGAACAAAATCTTGGGCGTGATTCTATGAACACCTCTCCATAGCAGAACTTTGTCAAAGTAGTAAACTTTTCCAAGAAAGAGTATGAAGTGATATGGGTTTGCTTTGTGCATGGCTGTTGGCTGTGTTTGCCTCTATCATGTTTTTTAATGTTAATTTTTTTGTAGGCATTAGTTTAAAGTTGAAGTAATATGGGAGGGGGAACAGGAAACAACGACGAGTCTACTGACAGAGGGCTATTTTCAAACCTTGCTGGATTTGCTTCTGGACACCTTGCACGACCTGGATCACACCATGGATATCCCCAAGGTGGATATCCTCCCCAAGCTGGGTACCCCCCTCAAGGCGGTTACCCTCCCCAAGGTGGGTACCCTCCTCAAGGCGGTTACCCTCCCCAAGGTGGATACCCTCCTTCCGGTGGGTACCCTCCATCTGGATATCCTCCCGCAGGATATCCACCAACAGCCCATCCAGCCCCTGGTGGATATCCACCAGCCGGTTATCCAGGTCCATCAGCTCCACATCATTCAGGTAACAGAATCACTGTCATTTAGTTCTCTTATATAATTTGTGATATGTGATAGTATAGTTCAGTTTCAATAAATTTATCCTCAGCGGTCCTCCATATATTTTATTATGGTATACTTTGGATGTGGTTCATAATCCTTGACATTCTTTGATTAACCGTAATAGTATTCAAAGTTTGATCAAAGTCCCTTGACTTCGTACATCTCATTATATTACTATTAATATTTATATTTTTATAGTTTTGACATTAATTGTTTGATATTTTATGAGATTTATAATCCTATAAATTTATAATCCCTCATTACAATACTATTAGAAACGGTTACAATAAAAAAATTCAAACATTTTGATTTTAAAAAATGGATAAAAACGATGTAAAAATAAGAAAGAAATAATAAATGGCAAAAGAATGTATCCATATTGTTACAAAAAATTGGTACATTTTACAAAAAAAATAGGTACATTTGACATATAACAAAGTGGTACATTAATAAAGAAGAATGGGTACATTATAAATAAATTAGGGTACAGATAAAAGATTAAAAAATTATGAGTACAAATGAATTTTTAAAAAAATATAGGTACTAAAAGAAATTAATACATGGGTACAAAATAAAACTAAAAAGAAAATACTACAAATTTTAAAAAAAATGTTGCAAATTAAAAGTGGGTACAAACTAAAAATATAAATGTATGATACAAAGTTTAGGCATAAAACATAAATATACCATATGTAATTTTTCTATCATTGATTAAATATACAATGTCACGTGACGGTATACACATGGGTACAAACACAAATAAAACTTTAAAAAATTGGACACAAAAAGAAACTAATATATAGGTACAAATTAAAAATGAAAAGAAAATTGGTACAAATTAAAAAATATTTGCAATAAAAATAGGTACAAACTAAAAATAAAAAAATATATGATAAAAAATTTAGTCATAAATATAAATATACTAATTGTAACATTTTTAACACTAAATGAATATATTTAAAAATAAAAATATTTTATTATTCATATAATTAATGATGTTATTAATACCCAAGAACCATGATCAAAAATTGAAAATAAATAGGATTTTAATCAATGCAGTAACAAAAAGAAGGATGTGAACCTAATTTTCCCTTTTATTATTGATTTCCCGTCTAAGAGAAGCTTCAACTGAGGTAGCAAACTTTTTCTTCTCAATAGTTATTTCTTGAATCTCAGAACCCTAGGGTTGTTTAAGAACTGAATTGAACCACTCAAGCAATCCAAATTAAACTGATAAAAGTTGTGTAGTTTGGATTGGAGCCTCTTCTCGATACATTTTGCTCCAGAAAATAAATCTGTTCAACTGAACCAAACCGATGCTGATGACCATTCAGAATGAGAATATAGTTGGAAAGCTGTTGGTAGACTTACATACACCTTCCTCTTTGTTTTAGAGGATCGCAAGCATCAATTAGGGTTTAATTAAGGAATGAGAGCTGATTTTCACACACCTTTTATAGCTTTTCCCACACCCCTCTTTGTTCCAGGCCATCGGATTGAATAAATCAAACGAAAACAACGGACATAATTAGCCAGGGTTGTGTAGGAAGCTATAAAAGGTGTGTGTTTATCATTTTCCTTAAAGGAATTAATTAGTGTTGTGCATCACTTTATAAGCCATGTAGTGCATGTTTCCGTTCCTCTTGTTTCTTCCATGTAATAATTAAGAAATTATTGCTAAATGTTTAAGATATTACGTACATTTCTCTACATACAATATTCTACGATTTTCGGTTGCGATTTTAGCTGACGAAAATATATATATTACAGGGCGTGGATCATCAGGTATGGGGATGGGGGCCATGTTAGCTGGGGGTGCTGCTGCCGCAGCTGCTGGCTACGGAGTTCACCATCTTGTGCATGGGAGTCACCATGGTGGCGGATACGGTCATGGCGGCGGATATGGTCATGGCGGTGGATATGGTCATGGTGGCTATGGGGGCTTCGGTCATGGAAAGTTCAAACATGGGAAACATGGAAAGTTTAAGCATGGGAAACATGGCAAGTTCAAGAAATGGAAGTAATAGTTCATCTAAGGAAATCGAATGGAGGGTTCAGATCCAAATCCCTTCCTCTATTGATAATATTATATTACAATTGGTATTTTCATATGCAGGTGTTTGAAAGATGTTATTGTGTTCTTTTTTTCCGAAAGGATGTTATTGTGCATGCCCATACGCAGTTTTACAAGTTTATTTTGACTGAGGCTCTGAATAATCACCCTCTGGTGCCTCTTCTTTCTGGGCTGTGCCGACTGCTAAGACTTCTCCTGAGCAACCTTTGTGAAGGCT